AAATGCTATGAATGCAAAATGCAAATGTAAAGACATATCAACTTGAGAAACGTAGTCATTCACAAGCAGTTCAAAAGCATTAAGCTCAATCCACTGTTCAGACCACATCAAGTGAAATGCCATGAATGCAAAATGTAAATGTATTAAGACATATCAATAGAAATGGTTCAAAAGCATTACAAACGGTTCAAAAGCATTAAGCACAATCCACTGTTCAGACCACATCAAATGGAATGGTGAGTATCTATAATAATGACAAAATGGAATGAAGTACTTTATAATGAGCACAGCTATATGCAATGAAAAAATTCATTGATTCAATTATAAGCCTATTTTGTAGTGATATTATAACGCACAGACAACAAATATTATGACAATGAATGTGTAATAAATGTTAAAAGGTCAGAAGTCTTTGGCCTACTTACACCACTATTCTCCATACACAGTTATGACAATGATACCAATGATGGGAATGGTACTTCTTTTTCTGCAGTGAATGATAGCAAACGACCAAAAGAAAAGACATCTGTAGATTTGTTTTGAATACACGCTCCATCTCTTAAATCTGGCGCAATATGTGGGTGGCAGGTCATGTATTTTTGTTTTTTCTTCTGTGACAGAGCATACCTTTTTCCATTCTTTTCGAAGCAGGCATACCCAAAATTAATAATAACAGCCTTCTTCATTTCTGGAACAATATTATACCCCTTGATGTCATTGTGTAAAATGCTTTTGCTATGTATATAAGCTAACCCAATGATAATTCCTATTAAAATTGAAATCCATTCCCATTTCATTTATAAAATTCTGATTTCTTCTTTGACGCTAAAAGTGAATGCAAATTATACGATTGACAGTTTAATTTATGGAAGTCCATGATAAGCATTCTGTGCCTTGATTCTAAACAGACACCAAACAAAAAGGAGACAATTTGATGGCAACAGATCAAAAAGATGTTAGCCTCTCTGATAAAGCAATTTTCACAATGAATGCTTCTTGAAATCTTCACACATGCTTTAATTGGTCCCAGTGATCCAATGCAACATTTCCCAAACATGCCGCGTCCAATTATTTCACTACTTTCTACCTTTACTTCCTCTTTTGAAAACAGAAGAATTTGTTTATCAAGCACTTCTTTCATACAGTGGTATCAGTACCAGATAATGTAGTTATTACAGCAGAATTAAGTTCACTCTCTTCTATTAATGATCTACACTTAGTCACTCCTGATTTCAGTAAAGACCAATATAATAAAATTTAAAAAAATTATTAATGAAGCCATTCTTTCTACGCAGGCCTATACATTTCTATGAATCATTACTAGTGACTGATCACTTGACTATGGTAGTGGTCAATAGTAACCTCCCACCTAAAAAGGTCTCCTCAGTACTTTGCTCCACATTGATCACATGTCTCTCTTTACCTTCCTAGAGCCATGTTCTGAGTACTAAGTGAAACCACTTGTTGTTTAGGAATCTTATTTTCCTTGTTCAAAGTTTCTAACTGAAGTTTAAGACGCTCCTTTATACCACTCATAAACTTCCGCTTCTTTCTTTTGTGTGATATTCGTCTTTGTTTCTGCCTGTCTATTCCTCTCTGAAATACTTTTGGTTTTTCCATCACATTGATCTACCAAGTCTGTAAGACCTTTGGTCTTGCTTGGTTCAGCATTTTCCAACACCATTTGACAGCATGAGCATGGAAATTGGAAAGATTAAGATCACATGCCAAAAGGCGTTGCGACATGCCTACAAGAGCTATGCGCGTGCTGCATCTTGGTTCGCGTGGCATGTGCTGTCAATGGCTACTCCTGGGAACCGACGTTTTATGGTAGTTTACCTAGTGGCCCGAGTTACAATAACTCATCTAACTCTGTGGAGTGCCAGCTATCAGCTGGCCATGATGACTTTTCTTTGATTCAAGAGCTTTGTTATCAAAGAAGGACTATAAATTATCTTCAGGATCAAATGGACCAACTTATTGCTCTTCGTGATTCAACTGGAAGGTATGACTATAAACCCTTATCACTATTCTGCTGCTACCTTCATAGGAATTGTTTTAGATAACTAAATTTTACAGGTATACATGTAGTAATGGGTTGATTGTTTATCTTACTAATTATTTCATTACAGCCGAAGACAATGAAGTGCCAAAGTTTACTGATAGATCAAGCTCATTAATATTAATTTTACAATAATTAAAGACTGAGGCTACTTGCACCTTTTCCTTAATAATTGAAATGTTTTGAAAAAATTAATGTGAATTAAGGCCTGTTAGGCTTTAACTGAATTCGAACTCAGTTAGATGTTTCCATACAGTATGAAACTGACCTTTTTAACTATTTTTATATTTTAGGTCACTTTCAGGGCTAAAGCAGTCCTTTGAAGGGTTTGCCATGGAAAACAAAGAGAAAAGTTCTTTATGTGATATGCCATGTAAATCTTCAACTAAGTACCACGTTATTGTTCATAGTCTGCAGTAAAAAACTGTATAGCACTTTTGTGGAATATGAGCAATTTGATGTGACCAGGTTAGTTCTTGTTATTAAGAAACATAATTTGGTCCCTTATCACAGCTTTAAGGATGATATCAATCACGAAGTTAAACAAAAATTGTGATCAAGTCATAGCCGAGTTTTCTGGTCAATATGATAATGCTGATATTAGAAGTTAGACATTGGTGAAAATAATATTTTAATGCTCTGTAATTTTTAGGATGTGTCAGATACTATGAATCTCAAGGGAGAATTTTGTTGGAAAGCCAGTCTAGAAGAATTGAAAAGGAAAAGGACAGAAAAACTAAGTGAACTCAGTGGCAACAGACTGTAAGGAAAATTAAGATGATTGTTTTGACATTTTAAAAATTAACAATTTTTTTGAAATGACTTTGTGCATATGCCATGTGAAATAACATTTATTTCTTCGTGCTTCTAGCTTTATAATAGGTGTGTTGAAAGGAGATACTGAGAAGAAATATAGGATGATCACATATCAATATATGTCACAGGAAAGATCTGATAGTGAAGAAGAAAGTACTTATAGAGTTCATTCTCCTCTTTGGAAATCAAATGGTACACTATTATTCTGTTTAATTGGCCTCGCCCAGCTTTGTGTAGGCGAGGATTAGGTACTCGGTTTGGCTTTCTGTCATTCATTCATTCATTCTGTGTGCTAGCTTTTGTCTTTGAGAATATATATCTTTACAGTCGCACTCTCTACATCTTTGACAGCTTCTTTTCTGTTAGGAAAAGTCTTGCTTCATTGCTTCAAGATGTTTAGAGAGCAGCTCTAGGTAGTAGAAGTGTTTTATCTCAAGAGAAAATGCCCAGCAATACCGGTAGTATTCTGGAGGCAAATGAGACTTTTCCAGTAGATCAAGACTATTTATTCATTTAATATGTGTGGAACTCTTCAAATCATTTTGTTGGTGAGTTATAGCTACTCGAATTTCATCCCGACTGAAGTTCATTAGCAGCAGTTCACTTGTCTAAGGATCCCAAACTCTCTTAAGTCACTCAATTTATCTAGGCAACAGTATTTGTGCCAATATAACATCTTATAGCACTTAGAAGAAGAGAAAAAATCTGAAGCTTCATTCTTACATGATCTTGCTGCATACATTATGGATAACTAATGTCACGCCTCCAAGCTTGGAGTTGAACAGCTTAGCTTGCCACTTCTGCTGGCAAGCATGCAAGAGGAAGTGTAACTGCAGCAAGGAAACTATAGCTGTTATGATAATCTCTTGCCCTCAGGAGTGCACTTTCTTAATTTCTTATACCGTATGGTTTTTATAGATAGTGGCCACAACAAATGCTGTGGTTTTGGAACCATGCATGATGTTTTTTTAAAAATGAGAGTGCAATAAGTATAAATATAGTGTATAAATAAGTGATAAATCTTGAGATGCTAGTAGGAATTGATAAACCAATTTTTGCAGGGACTTCAGAGTTCCATCATACTTTTGACATTTGCCCAGTCTGTCACTTTTGACCTTTATCATTTAAATATACTGGCATAGGCTAGCTAAGCCTAACACATCCCAAATGGCTTTAGGGGCGAGGCCATGCACCTTTAGTGTCTTGTTTAATGTTAGTAATAGGGTCTAGCATTCAAGTTCACCATCATAGCAGGTATATTTTGTCCAGGAAAATAATCGCTCCAAGCAGGAATGGAATTTTTGATTTGGTATTGAGGAAAACCTTTTTGTTTGGAAAATATTAGTTTCACAAGGAATGAGGACGGAATATATACCTGCTATACATAGTGGTATGCATGTATTGTTACTAAATACTTTTACATTTAGCCCTCAATAGCTTGATCAAAAAACTTGACAGTCGTTCATGTAAGAATGACTCTGCAGCCGGAAAATTAGTGGGTGGATTTGTACGCTACAAAAGAATATCAAGCCAACCTTTGATAACATGTACTCTTTCTAGTGCTCCATCTTGGGCAGCTGAAGCACAATTTGGCACTGGTATGTATTTTTAACATAATACCTATTATGTCCTTTCTAGAGCAAGAGAAAGAATTAAATCCAAATTTAGTCTCCTAACATTCCTCGTATGATAGAAAACATTAATCATAATTTTATTTCTTATCACTGTTCTTTGATTTACAGCAATCGCAGTTTGTAACTACACCCACTTCCAGAAATGGTACATTAATATTCCATTTTCATTTTCCACCATAATATATAGGGTCCACTTCTACATTAACACCTGTACATAGTAATCGGCCAGTTTTGTCTTCATTAGGCAGGATATAGTGGTCATTTAATTTAATCATTATTGTATCTAACTTAGAATCACCCAGTAGCACCTTGTGTCATTCCAGTATATCTCCTTTATTGAGTACGTAATTGTTTGTATATCACCCAGTAGCACCTTGTGTCATTCCAGTATATCTCCTTTATTGAGTACATAATTGTTATGTATAATAATGTCTTATTTTTATTTTATTCCTTCTTTCATAAGTCGAAAATCGTCAACACCATCAAATACACCATCTTGTTTCATAGCACATCAGCTAGGTACTAGCAACTATATTTGACTTTATTATTATCACTTTTATATAGATTCTGCTTTCATTTCAAGCCCAATTGCAATCCTACGAGTGACTAGAGACAAAGGTAATACATGACTGTACATGAACAAAATTTTTTTAATAATTATTAGTTAGTAAAAACAATTAGGATTTTATAGTAGTGTTATATTGTACTTCTTTCATAGGCAAAAGACCTCAGCATCATCTTCCTGCAGAAGGATTGAAAAAAGTTCTTTTTGATGAATCTTCTGATGATTGTTGGAGTCTGGATGAAGATAACTGATAATTATTATTATTATTATTATTGAATGTGTTAATTATTATTTAAGTTTAATTTATTATTTTTTGTGTTATTAATTAAGTTTAATTTATTATTATTTATTATTGAATGTGTTATTAATGAATTAATTTTAATTTATTCATTTATCATGCCCAGCCCCTTTAATAGTTGTATAGATGGTGGGTCGTGCGGGACAGGCTTTGTCCATCTACTGTCTCTCTATTGTCTATATTTTGCGCTAACACATCTAGTGACGGTACCAGTCTCCAGGCTATAACTGTCTTCGCCTCCTCTACGTATATTAACAATAGACAGGCTTATAGATTTCAAATTACAGTAATGTGCATTCAGCCCAGTTTTATTGTGCTTGCATACTATTCTTTAATTGTGTAATGAATTATTTTATTTCAAAAAACAAACAACTAATTAAATAATGTTATAATAACTTGGTGATGCGATGATAATAATGACTTGACAACAGGAAGAATTGCAGGGAAGATGGATACTGTCACTGCTCCTTGAACAAGGACTCTTGTCAAGACTAGTATAAATTTCACTTTCCATCAGTATAGTAGACAATCTTTCAGCATAACTATTCACTCAATGTTGTCTCTTACAATAGTTTAAACGACATAGCAATAATAATAATAATAATGTTATTGTATGTGTTTAAAATCAAAAATATCACAACGGCAACTGAAGAAATATTATAAATGTTTTTAAAAAGTCAATACAAACAAGAACATAAAAAATTAAAAAAAACAAGATGAAGTAGGATTCCGAACAATCAACAAAATTCAAAATAAAAATCCTACTCTCGTGATGCAAATTCTACTCTACACTACAAGGTGATCCGCAATTCTTACGTAATAACATTGAAAGTACAATTTAGAGTAGAATTTGCGTCACAAGAGTTGGATTTTCATTTTGTATTATGTTGATCGTTCAGAATCCTACTTCATCACATTTTTAAAACTTTTTTAAAATTGAAAACCGCGTGTTATTGAAGCACAGCACCAGGTTGCAGTGGTCTTGAGGAGTTATACTTCCTGCTCCTTGAAACTGCTTTAGCCAGTTCTTTTCAGAAATACTCTCCTTGCCGTGTTTCGGGACTCTCCACCCATTCTAGTTAGTGTTTATTGATTTGGGTGTGGTTTATAAACTTGACTGACCGACCAGCACTGCAAAAAGCTTGAAAGTAACGGTCCATCTATACAAGGAGATAACGGATGGAGAACTGGAGTCTGGATGGCTCCACTAAAACTGCTTAGGAGTAGCTGATTAGCTGCTGAACACTAAATGTATAAACACGTGGTCAATTGTCATAGCAACAATCAATTGGTTTCCATGGTATTTAATTGAACTTCTTTTAAGGTATCAAGTAATGCATTTACTTCCGGAATAAATCATCTAGTGCATACAAAACGTTACGGAAATCAAGCATAAATTTGCCTTCTCAATGTACTCTGAGAGATTATACACACATTTTAAGTCCACAAGTGGCTTCAGTTTTGATCTGAATTTGCAACTTATCTAAGACTCTAAACTCACAGCCACTGCAGATTTCCAGAAAGAGGTAGCACTGAAATGCACATTAAGGAAGGACTTGTCTATGTCAGTTTACAGGTAATTTATAATTATTATAATAATATTAATACTTTTTCTTTTGAAGAATTGATTGGATTTTGTAGCATGTGACACAACAATGAACATCTTCAGCTTTAGAAGCAGATTGACACCAATGAACAAAGCAGAAAAAACAAAGTCTTAGCTTCATCTATACTTGTATTAATTATCAGTGGACTTTTTATAACAAATGGCCCCAATATTATATGAGGCCATACTACAAATAAAGAAATGCGACTTTAAAGTTGCATGCAATACTCTTGATGGTAACTCAGCCAACAGAAAACACATTTGAAAACATACCAGCTCTGAAGTAACATATTACTAAAAATCCATGTTCACTGATGTGCAACGTTTACTTCATATCAGATCCACCTCTTCTCATAAAAACCACCAAATACAAGTAATGAAAGAAACATGGAGGTAATTTATATGTGCCTGTTCACTAATAATTACAACTAATCATTGACTTTAATGGTGTGCCAATTTCTTGGAGATTTGTAAAAGACCTCTATTGAATGACATTGAAGTGTAAGTGGCTTACAAGTCTAACTAAGCTCATGTATGAGCACATTAATGTAACTGGTTTTTCAAGGGAGAATTGATTTAGCTGCACAAGTACGGAACATTTTCAAAATCAAAAAATTGATAAAATGTTATAGGTTCTCACTGCTACAGTCAGTACTGGAATGAAGACACTCTTACCAGATGAAGCCAAAGAAACAGCCAACTTTATTAAGTAATTTCACAAGTTCTTTGACATGTTAAATGTTTCCAATTATTCTTCCAGCTATGTCACTGGAGACAAAAAAATTCAAGTAGGCTGAATAAACTATTGTCAATATAATAACTTATTATATACAGTAGTTACAAGGAGTTCTTAACATGGCTCAATGGATGGGGGAAGCAAATTAGCGACAATAAATAGCTAAAGGCAAAAGAAACAAAGAAACTAATACTAAAAAGAGAAACTCTGCTTGAAATCAAAAGAACTGGTGGGTATTGCATGCATGATACAAAAATACAATACAAATACTTTTTAACTTATTCATTCATTGAGCTTGTCAATTATATTTTCATGATGCCTGGAGTTAAGAGTTTCCTGAGTGAAAAGATTTGCCAGGATCCTCTGCAGTAATGTTTCGGGCAGCACAGCAATCCATCATCAGCTGAATTTTAAAAAATCAACAGGCACTTTGTGTATTAAACTCAATTACCACAGATGGAATTGTAAAAGGCAATACCCAAAGAAACAAGCAACCCACAGATATTCCAGTGGACAGTGAGCCAATACCAAAAAAAAACTTACATCAACAACATCATCAACACCAACTTTTAAAAGCATAATAACAAACATTTTGTACAGAAATTGAAAGTAAGCATTGATTTTACATGTACATACTTATAATAATATTTCATCTCATATAGTTGCTACACATACAATCATCTCCAGACAAGAATCAAAACTACGAACTGTAACTGTGTCAAAATGTTCAAGTGTAGCTGAAAACTTAAAAAGTAGGTGTTCTATGGGAACAAAAAAGGTTGCTGTTCAGCAATATAACACTTACCTCATCAAGTTATTGAGAATCTGGACATCAGCAACAGTCACCCTTCAATTCATAAGGAACATGTATAGCTTCGATTTTCTTCTTTCGTTACATCTGCTGAGTATATGAAATTCTTGATGTCACTACACAGCATCGTAAAAGCAGAAGAATTCCATTTATTATAATTGAAATTACTTACATAATGTTCACATCATTTTGGAAAAAGGTGACATCAAGACAATCACAACTAGAATTCAATTCAACGAGTCCAGTAGGAGGCCTATTCATCGATGAGAGCAGTGCTCACTTGTATTTTGGTGGCTATTTAGTAAGAAAGATACAATTAAAACTAAGGCAAGGTAGTCAAAGAGGCACTGAGAAACACCATATTAGGTTTACTTTGTGACTTTTTGCAGGAAGACAATAAGAATGATGAAGATGAAGAGGATATAGTTGACAAGAGTTCCGATAACTGTACGAGACAATATAAGTTGCAGAAAGTTGACTGTTTGTAACAATGACTTTCACACTTTATGTTACTCAATAGAGCACTAAGACTGACTTGCAAGTTTAGCAGTAGTGAGAACATGAGAAAACTCAGGGAGAACGAAGAGATTACCACTGAATGGATATAACTATTTGATGAACAGAGAGAGGGACAGAGTACTGAAGAAAGCGGAACGAGGATGATAAGGAAGCATAGAAATTCCTTCTAGATGAAGTACTAACACTTTACGTTACAGTGAGGATTCAGATTTACCTCGAGATTTGTTGAACAATAGAAAAGCAACACAAAGAATTTACAGAAAGATAAAAGCTTGAGATCTAAGCACTCATGCTCAACCTCAAACAGTGATAATTGAATAATAATAGTTATTGTTATTATAATTAAAAATCAAATGACAATATGCACTGGTTTTAATGGCTGTTTTCCTGAATTTCGGTCATTAAATTTTACTAAAATTAATTTTGTGATACATTTCAACTCAAATATGTTGTAAAATGAACAGCCTCCCCTCTGGCGCAATTAACTAGACCATCAATAGCCTTGACATTAATAGTTAACATAACTTTAGCACCAACAAGTAGTCGAAGCTCATGGTGCAAATCACTTTCTACAGATCTATCTGCACTGTTTGATTAGTTTGTTGCTATTATGAGATACTGATCATCATCAGAGGCCAATGAATGTAACATTATTTCATTCCATTTCTCCACACTTAGATTGCTTCTATGTACATGGAGTGCTTATGTTGGATATCCAGCTGAAGTTTTAGTAATTTCTCTACTTTTTAACACTTGTATGTCCTCATTAGTGCAAGTCTCTGTTCTTCCTCAACTAAGAATTTCTACAAACTGGGCATCGTCCCTTTGACGCGTGATTTCCTGAAGCTCTAACATCTTAAAATGCTCCTTCCATAACCATCCAATTTACAGATGGAAGATGATACAAGTCGCCAACAGCTGAAATGCTAATATTCCCAAAAAGAACATTGTGAGGCTGAACTAATATTTCATTAAGCCTTTTGTGTACTTCTAGTAGCAAGTTCCTTCGCAGCATACTTACTTCATCTATGGTCAAAAGCTTAAGTTTCCAAAGCCTAAACTGAAACATATTTACCTTGTCCCGGCTTAAAGACTGGTAATTACGAATTCTATTATATCCTCGCATTAAGGCATAGTGTAAGGTCATGCTTCCAATATTAAACACTGCTACACCAGTAGGTGCGGTTAGTAAAGCTATAGCTTCATCTGGTTCAA